TGTGAACAAGTTCATTTCCTTTTTTTTGTTTGTTTTTAAAGAATCCACATGTAAGTGATATCATATGGTATTTGTCTTTCTCTGTCTGGTTACTTCACTTAGTATGATCATCTCTAGGTCCAACCATGCTGCTGCAGATGGCTATAATTCCTTCTTTTTCACAGCTAAGTAATATTCCATTGTATATATGCACCACATCTTCTATTCAGTGACTTTGAAAGAGACAGGTAACTACAGAGAAAATGAATTTTCATAGCAACAGCAAACAGGCATGCCCCATCACTCTTGGGAAAGAGGCTAGTCTGAGTTTCTGAGGTCAAGAAGCAGCTGGCAATTGAAGGGTGGCCATTCCCACCCCTTCCCAGGCTCGGCCTCACTGCCCTTTCCTCCAAAGCAGCGGCGGTCCTTAAGGGAGGAGTACAGAGAGAGAATCAGGAATTGGGCAGGAGCCACCGGGAAGCAACCGGAAAAGCTGCAGCGGTCTGGTTCTCCATGGACACGCCCCACCCAGTTAGAGATAGGGCTTCCCTGGCGGCTCAGTTGGTCAAGAATCCGCCTACAATTCGGGAGACCTGGGTTCCATTCCTAGGTTGGGACGATCTCCTGGAGACGGGAATGGCTACTCACTCCAGTATTCTTGCCTGGAGAATCCCATGGATGGAGGAGCCTGGTGGGCTACAGTCCCTGGGGTCACTAAAAGTCAGACACGACTGAGCCCGCACGCGTGCGCGCACACACACACACACACACACGTGCACACACACAGTCTTAAGATGGCACCTCAGAAGCCAGAAGATGCTCACTCAGACCCAGGAGTGAAGAGCCGGCAATAATCAGGAGATAGCACCTGAGGTCAGTTATGATAGCAGTAACTGACGCACCTCTTGAAAGTGGTCTGAGGCTCTGGTTTTTTACAAGAGGGTTGCCTGGGTGATCCTAGTTTGTTTTTTTTAAATAAAGGCCATCAGTGGCTTGCACCCAAGCGACACACCTAAATGACCCTTCAGGTTAGGATCCACATTTTACCCCAACACCAACTATGGCCAACAGAGTTCTGACCCAAGAAGGCTGTGTTCCACACTGAGGACTGCTGGTCTAAGAAATAAGTCAAAGAGCCAGAGACCTTAGGTCAAGGTGAGTTTATTGTCCAAATAGCATAATCTAATTGCATCCAGAACCATTTTCAAATCCATCTTTAAGCTAGTCAGAAAAACAGGTTATTATTTTTAAAAATCACTTAACACTGAAAAGATAGGACCTCAGAAAAGGCAGCTTGACTATACCATGTCACCATCATAGCCAATACAACATTTTTTTTTCCCATACTTCCTAAAAACCTTCCGTGTATACTGATCATGCTACTTTAGCACTTGCTCGCACGCCGACCAAATAAACACCCACACCTCTTATAGAGTACATGGTGAGAGATTAACATTGACTCGATATGGCATCACACTCGTTTAAAGCAAAAAAAAAAAATTATAATAATAATAATAAAAGAAAGTCAAGGACGAGAAACTGTAACTGAGAGAGAGAGATCTGAGGTACATGGTACAAGGGTAATGAACATAATGGAAAAAATCCAATGGCCCCCGTGACACGCTGGGGATTTCAGAGGTGGTGAGCAGTAAGAAACAGAACCAACTTAAAAAAAAAAAGAAAGGATAGGCATCTGTGAAAATACACTGGCTACTGTAATGGCTACAATCAGTAAGGCACTTTTTTCCCCCCAAAGTAGGCTGCAGGCAAAGGAATAAATGCGACAGCAAGAGCACGCGTGTACATGTCTGCTAAAGGCTTCCGGAAACCTAAGCCAAGAAATGGGTCTGAGGGCCCAGGCGAGTCTAGAAGCAGAGACACCAGGATGCAGAGCAGTGGTTCTGGAGGAAAGAGACTGTTCCGGGTTGTTTATTAGAATCCAGAACCAGGAAAAGCCAGATGGGATGAAGAAGCCATAAACATCCTAATGAATTTCCCACCTTGTTTCACACCAACGGGTGACGGGAACCACGCCGAGCCCACAGCTGAGGAGCCTGCGTTCGTTCTAAAGCTACAGGGTGCGTGTTGGGTAAGGGACTTCACCGTCTCAGCACTGATTTCCCTTTTAAAGCTATTCTCGGGGTTGGACTGTCTCAAAGATAAACACGGAGGAACCCTTTTGGCTTAGAAGCCAGCTGGCTTACTCAAGATTTCCTGCCCATTCTTATCTCCCATTCCCACTCTACCAATAATTCTCTCTTCTTGAACTAGAAAAATCAGTATATTTACATGATATAAGGTGCATGTCTGTTTTTCTCCCAGCCCTGTCCCCCCCTGTAGCCCGTGGGGAGAACAGTCTGCTGCCCTCTTTGAGAAAAAGTCATCCAGTCCTGCTGCCACCCTCATCGGGCAATCCCAGGGCTCCTGGGACCCTCAGCGGTGGGTGGCAGCCTCCTCGGAAGGGAAGACCCCGATGCCCGCAGCCAAGGGCCGCCCCTCCCGAGTCACACATGCCCAACTCCAGTGAGGACAGGAGGAAGGATGGGGCCTCTGAACAGCCCACCGTCCAAGGGGGACCTGGCTGGGGTACGCTGGCTGCTCAGTGGGGTGGGGGCAGTTCCAAAGGACAGCCTCCGTGGACAGAAGCCCCTTCTCTCAGCCTGGAAGTGGGGGGGTGCAGTCTGCTGAGGCACCCATCCCCTGCCCCCACCTGCAGGCTTCTCGGCTGCGATGAACAATCCACATGGAACTGACTTATGTTCAGCATATATTTTTGGCATACGAGGATTTTCACCCCCTAGGATTTGGCCAAAATAGGGGAAGGAACAAAATTTGGCTGGTGAGGGGAACAATCAGTCCCCACTGATGGAGAAAAAACAAACAACCAAAAAAAGAAGAAAAAAAAAAAACATAAAGAGAACAAAGTGAAGGAGAGATACGACAACAAGGTAGAAAAAAAACCAGAATAGGTTTGGAACCTCCTTCACGGGAGCAAAGAGGAAAAAAAAAAAAAAGAAATGCACCTGAACTCCTCTGGGACAGAAACTCCTATTGAGGAAACCAAGATCCAAGATCCGAGGAGAGGGCACAGGACAGTTCAACAATGCCCGGGGCCCGTCTTTTGTGTAAGGAAGGAGCAGGCAGGAAAGCAGAAGCTACCTAGCACCCTTCCCACCTGCAACCCTACACCTCCCATCACGCTAGGCACAAGGCGGAAAAGGAGAAAAAGCTAGAAGGTCCCAGGGACCCTGAGGGCTCCAGGGAAAGTGGAGAGAGAGAGACCGCGGGGGGATCTGTTGGCCTGTCTCCTTCCTTATTCCTCTCGCTGCTCCCATTTGAGCTGAGCAGCTGGTCACTGTTAGAGGGATCTACACCTCCCTTTCTCTTTAGGTCCCAAGAGTCTCAAGAACTCTAGGGCCCATGCTTTTCTCCACCACACAGACCACCCTCCAACCCCAGTTTGCCCAGAAGAGGGGCCTACGCAGGATGGCCTCTTGATAAAACACAGGCTGCTCAGCCTTTCTCCTCCAAACCTCAGAATTCACTGTCCACTGGCCCACCAGGAATCCTGAGCATCTCAGGATCACGTAACTCACCGAGTCCTGAAACCCTTCTAACCCACATCAACGGAGCCTGACTCACCTGGGATTCCATCTCTGGACAGAAGCAGCCTGCCCACCTGCCTTCAACCACCGATCCGATACTCACCCCGACCCGTTTTCCCGATCATGCCAATTCAGCACACGATTTAAAACCTGAAAACCATTCAGTGCCACTCAGCGAGGACCACGCCCTTGCCCCAGCATTTTGCCTGTCACAGGCCAGACAGGTGGGAGCAGTTCCCATGGCAACCCTGCCTGCCGCAGGTTCAGACCTAGGAAACCCTCTGAGATCGTCCTGAAGGGGGCAGGGGCCTGGGGGGGTGGGGGGTGGCTGCCAACATCCAGGAGAGAGAAACTTGCCAGAGAGAGAAACATGCCGAAAGAAGGGAAACCTCCCAGGTGAAAGGAGAACTAGAAGCAGGTGTGCTTTAGAAAGGCCCGCCCGATGAGGCTCTCTGAACAAACAGCCTGCTGGAATTGTCTGGTACCCAAGTGCAGATGCTGCGTGCCCAGCACACTGCATCACTCAGCGCTGTGTGTCGGCCTTGCGGGGGAGGGGAAATCCCTTGGTCCAATTGCATTTTTTCCATCATGATGAGGATACCGGAGTCAGAATGGAAGCCTGATGACCTTCACCGCTGAGGAGGTCTCTGGGCGTGAGACCCTCACCTTCCATCGGGGAGAGGCTGTGGCCCCCTCCCCCCTCCGCCTTCCCTAACTGATGGGCTCCCAAGCAGAAACTGTACGGTTGTGAGGTATTAATGAAAACAAAAATGTGAACCATTTTCTTTCGTAGCTATTGATTTTGTCCAGTAAACCTGAGGTAAAGAATACTCTGTCTTTGAAGGATGTGATCAGAGAGGGAAAAAAAAAAACCCATGAATACGCGACCAGAAGAAAACATACTATGTATGGAAGAGGGCTTTTCCAGTACGAAGAACTCCTATCTCAACCAACTACTTCAGGACTTGGAAGTTTAAGCAGTAAAATAATATATTATAAAAATGTTTATATAATAGCAGCACACTCGGTGAAACATTACAGCTAGGTACTGTTAATGTGGATAACGATGAATGATCTTAGCTTCTTAGCAGCGCAAAAAAAAAAAAAAATAATAAAAAACTGAACATAATAAAATGAAAAATAAGAGACCCTTAGATTTTTCTCCATCTTAAACCCTCCATACTATGAAACAAGGCAAAATCTGTGTATAAAATAATTCTTCAGAGTAGCCTTGTTCTGATCTTATTTTTTTTTTTCTTAGCAGCGCAAAAAAAAAAAAATAATAAAAAACTGAACATAATAAAATGAAAAATAAGAGACCCTTAGATTTTTCTCCATCTTAAACCCTCCATACTATGAAACAAGGCAAAATCTGTGTATAAAATAATTCTTCAGAGTAGCCTTGTTCTGATCTTATTTTTTTTTTTACTTAAAAAGGCAAATATTTTAATAGCTTCATTACCTGTCAATTATAATTGTGCAAAAAAAAAAAAAAAAGTTGGTGCTTCAACCTCTCTGCTAACTGAATGCCTCTAAGACGTGGAGAGGAAAAAAAAAGTTCAAGTACGCTGAATGCAACTTTGCAATGAAATCAACGACAAAAGAAACAAAACGGAAACGGGAACAAAATGCCACACGGATGACCCGCTGTCTGTCTTTGCACCAGCAATCATGCTTCTTTCCATGTCCAAAGGCGAAGTATAGAGGTGGGAATTAAGATCCTTGTGTGCCATCAAAATGGTTACAGATCTCTGCTTTTAGGAATGTTGTCATAGGGATTTCAGCGGAAGGGGATGTGTCTTGAGTCCCTGGAGGGGAACCCAGAGAGTGTTGGATACAGGACAGCAACCTGACCGGGGGGCAAGAGGGGAGGGGACACAGGAGGAGGAAGGAGGCCTCTAGTCTGTATGATTTGCATAAACCAATCCATCTACCCCCTCGGGAACAATTTTTCAAAGTGCTTTTCGAATGGAATGGTTTATACCAACGCTCACCTGTGGACCGGACATGCCCAAATCAGCACCAAAAAAAATTAGTTTATTTATTTTTTTTTTTCCTAATGAGGGATGCCAAGGTCACATTACTCTCTTGAACACCTCAGGAGGAAAAAAAAAAAGTTCCAGATCCCACCCTGGGGCTCCATCTACCTCCATTTCACGGAGTTTGTGGGATGGCCTATAGCTAGATTGCCCCTTTAAGATAAAAATGGGGTGGTATCTGCAATGAACCAAGTTTGGAAGAAGAAGCAAGGTATCGAAAAACATGAGAAACCCAGGATCCAATCACCTGTGTCCAACGGGCAAAACAGAACATCTCTTTTTAGGTAGCAGCTACTGTAGACAGCAAGACTTGTCACTAGAGACCCAGCATCGGTCCTGACTTAGCAACAGTTGGTTGGGAGTCGGGCGCTTCTCCATCCAAAATGGTTCTATTGCGCTGAGATTATTCGTCACTCCCTCCCCATCCTGTCCCTCCTTTATTTCTAGTTCCTTCTCAAGTTCATTGCTTCGCAATCCAATCCTGCCATACATGGCATCCGCAGTTCTTCCAAATTATCCTAACAGGGGTACATACGTGCTAGTTCATAACATGGAAAAAAAAAAAGTCTCTAACTTGTTCCCATAGTGCAGGCGTATATTTTTCTCTAGCTACTCTGCAGGTTTTCCTGTAAGCATGTTACTATGACTTTTAACATCAAACAGTAACTGTTGGCATATATAAGGGATTCCCTTCTGTTGTACTTCAAATAGGCACCAAATGCTTGTAATGATTTCGTTTTTATAGGACCTTTATCTCTCACTTCTAAAAGATCTTTCAATAGAATCTAGGTGGGGGCAGAATTTTTTTTTTTTAAGTTTCATCCTAAAACGTAAGAGAGCCAAATACAACCAGAGAGAAGGAGAGAGCAGATTGGACGCACCCCTCCCATTTGGCCCGCCCCACATCCTCACAGGTCGATATCCCGAACATCTGTAGGGGTGCTGGCTTGGTCCAGCTCATCCTCCGACTTGGATCCGTCGCCCTGGTCCTGACGGTACTGCTGCAGGCTATTCAGCAGCACCACCTCAATCTGCTCCTGGCAGGCTTTGAGGCAATCCTAGAAGGGAGAAGCATCGAGACCAGAGCCGTTAGCAAGGGCAACAGGACACAGAGCAATCAACAAAGAGAACACACAAGATTCAAGCCTGCCCAACTCCACACTCCAGTAGGTGGTGGTGGTTTAGTCACTAAGTCGTTTCTGACTCTTGCGACGCCCTGGACTCCAGCCTGCCAGGCCCCTCTGTCCATGTGATTTCCCAGGCAAGAATACTGGAGTGGGCTGCCATGTCCTTCTCCACTTCCTGTAGAAAGAAAGTCAACATGTACAAGAGGTGCGTCTTCCTGGTGGCTGGGGAACCACTCCAAGTGAGCTCCATAGGCCAGCAGCATCCACACCACCTGGGAGCTAGTTACAAATGCACTTCTCAGCTCTCTCCGAACCAGCCACATCTCAGAATCTGCATTTTAGCAGAAGCCCAGGCAGCGCTGGTCAAGGCGAGGGGCCATTTATGGCCATGCAGCACCTGGTAACTCAAGGACCAGCGAGATGCTTCCTGCTTGGAGACACTGCGTGGTGAGAGGGCAAAGGGGAAGGTGAGCTTTCCAGACAGTGTGACAACACTAGACCACCCGAGAGACAGATATAAGCAAAAGGACTAAACTATTCTGAGCCTCATAGCCACTGCAGCAATGCTCATAAACAAGCCAATTTGTCTGTCCATTTATTTACTGTTCCCTTAACTCTCAAAAAGTACAACACACAGTGTTTACAAAGTTCTGGACACTTGAGCCGTCTAATTCGGGAGAAAGCAAAAAGAAAAAACTGAAGCACTGCTTTGAGATTAGTCTATATTTGGTAGGGAAGATTCAGGGTATGTCAGCCCCAGTCAGAAGCTCCTCTAAACTGGGTGACACTGACACAGCAGTAATTAACAGGTGTCATCAGGGTGAGACGGTGGTTGGCACTAGCAACTGGGGTGTGAGCTGAAATAACTGTTCGTAGCAGATAGTGGGTAGGCCAAAAGGTTCATTCGGCTTTTCCCGTAAAATGTTATGGAAAAATCTGAATGGACTTTTTGGCCAACTCAGCATCTCCCGACCTCTCTACTCATCAAGCTTGGTTTCCTGGCACTCTTGTAAATGTATGGAAAATATGTGAACTCCACTCTGCCTGGGTCTTTCCACAGTTTCATGTATGTTCCCCCTGTGTTTGCTCCACCATGCAATTTTCACTGCCCAGAGGTTGCAGTCTGCCAAGCACACAGGCATTATCTCTATTTTCCAAAGATCTAAAACAAAGTTGGAGCTCCTAGGAAAGTTTCCATGCCCCCATATTTTCCTTTTGTATCTCTCAGCCACCGTACGCTGTTAAACCACAGCTTTTTAGGAAAATTAACATACGGAGCGACAGCAGACCCAGTGCTGAGAGCAGATATGAAATACCACTCAGAATGAGTGAAGAGGGACAGAAGGACATGAAATACCACTCAGAATGAGTGAAGAGGGACAGAAGGAGGTGGCATCTGCTGTTCCCACGGCCAGACCTGTGGGCACCGCTGAGTTATTCTCCTTCCCTGTCCTGGGTTTCCCCATTTGTAAAGTAAGGCTCAGGAGACGTTCACAGAAGGAGGATCAATGGAGATGTCTAGATGAAGCTCTAATCATTCATTACAAAAAGGAAGTCTTGGAATCTGAAAGAATTTCTGAGGTTTCTCTGAAATGAGGTACGAGTGAGCATTTGCTCACGACAGGTGACGGGGGCAATGGGACGGGCACTGGGGATGGAGCGTCCAGCAGGGAGGCTGACTCTTTGCAACCCCACGGACTGCAGCACACCAGGCTTCCCCATCCTTCGCTATCTCCTGGAGTCTGCTCAAAGTCATGTCCATTGAGTCGGTGATGCCATCCAACCATCTCATCCTCTGTCGCCCTCTCCTCCTCCTGCCCTCAGTCTTTCCCAGCATCAGGGTCTTTTCCAATGAGTTCACTCTTCGCATCAGGTTAACAAGGCAAAGACTAACGACAGTCAAAACTGCTCTGGCTGGTCCCCTAAGAAGCTCCCCGCCAACCGTCGACTTTCCTTCCTCTATGATTCTGTTTCTGCATCAACACAACTGCCACCCAGCAACATGATGAACCCAGGATGCCATGATCATTTCTGCATTAGCCACACCAGCAGCTGAGACAGGCGGTCCTCTGAACATGGGGGGGAGCTAAGCAGCTTGATAGGGGGCCAAGGACAGTCTCCCTGGGGGTCACCCAGGTGCCTGCTCTTCCTGGTATTCAGGTTTCCCTCCCAGCATCCTGAGACCCTAAAGGAAGAGTTCTGAGAGTCCTTCGGGGCGGGGCTGGTACACCAGGCAGTCACTTCTACGGGACTTCGAGATAACACAGGCATCAAACGTCATATTTATGTAACTTGCAGCCCCAAACCGTTTTCCTGAATAAAATGAAGAAAGATTTCACACAAAACACAGACTCTCCTTCCTCCAGTCAATGTAACCATTTTTGACAGTGGCCAGCCCTTCCTCTTTGATACATCTTACTTCAACAGAAAAGGAAAGACCATAGCAGTTGTCCCAGCAATGAGGATGGAGCAGGAAGCGAAGGCTCTCAGGGGTCAACTGTGTCCCCTATTCCTAGGAAGCACTCTGACCCTCCCCTGGTTCCACTGCTGACAGCATCTGAGTTTCAACTGTGGGACCTGTCGCTCTTGGCTAGATGAAAACCTACCAGAGGGCAAGAGCTCATTTTGCATAAAGGATGCTGATGTTCTCCTCTGACAGTGGCACGAAGGTAAGAAATCAGCCTCCCTCTTCCTGGAGAATGGAGTTCATGCCCTGCATTTCTTTCCTATAGTTTTTTTTTTGGCCATGCAGCATGTGGGATCTTAAGTTACCAGACCAGGGGTAGAACCTGTGCTCTCCGCAGTGAAAGTGCAGAGTCTTAACCACTGGACCTCCAGGGAATTCCCCACTCCCTGCATTTTAACACCTTCCTTCAGCATCGCAGGAGCCCTTCCCCTTGGTGGACTTCCTAAGACTGTGTGAGTTTCCTGTGAGCTGCTGGCAAGTGAAGCTGGAGGGAGGGTGGGCTGGTGCCCTACCTGCAGCAGACCTGCACCCCCACCCAGTCCCCCCAGCCCCAGTCCTGCCCAAGGGGCTCTCAACCTCCCCAGCGGGGACCAGGGTGAAGGGTGTGACCCAGAGGGAGGAGGCCAAGCCTATGGATGGAAACAGACAGACGGGGGACAAGCTGCGGAGCCTGAAGGGAACAAGAGGCGAAGCTGGAGGAGTCATGGCAGTGTTTTCCTGGGCTGGGTTCTTGGGGTGACACAAGGGGGTGACTAGGGGCTCCAGGGGGACTGTAACAGCCAGCAGCCCTCACTTCCCAGCTTAGAGAACCGACCTGGAGCTGGCTCGTCCCCCAGTCACATGTGGTCAGAAGTTACACCCGGCCTTCAGAGGGCAAGCTTCCTATTCCAGAACTCTCTTCCCACTGCACCTCTCTGCTCCTTCCAGGTTCCAAGGAAAGACAGACCAGAGAATCTCCAGGAAAGGCAGACACAGCCCAAGAGCGGCCTGGAAAACCCCCACGACAGCGCCTCAGATGAAAAGACGCCCCGGGGCCCTCTGCTCCTCAGCAGCCTCCAAAAGCACCAGCCATTGTGTCGAGATGCCCCAAATTAAGCTGATTAGGAGGAGAGTCATAATGCTCGTCTGTCAGCCTGGACAGGTGGCACTCCCCAGCGCTGGGGGTCGGGCAGGCCTCCAGCCCCACGAGGCTGGGCCCCCTCCCCCCGCCTGCCCCGGCCCCCGGAGCCCTGACAGCCGCGTTTGTGATGCCGGGCTCCGTCCCCCGGGCCCTGACTTCCTCCGCTTGCTGGCTCCAGCCCCGCGCCCTGCACCCTCCTCGGCCTCGGTGAATGGGCTGCGGAACTGTTACCATCGGCCCCCAGTGTCGCTGCATCAGGGCATTGTCACCACACACGCACTGCACTCAACAGGGGGACAAAGGGCTGAATGAGCCCCAGACCCGCGGCCAACTCAGGCACAGACAACTTAGGAAACTATCTCATTCTTCCTTTCTTCGCAGCCTGTTGGGCTTATTTCCTTGAATACCAAATGAGGCCCGCAGTGAAAATCAGGCAGGCGCGCGGGGAAGCGTCAGCTCCAACTCTGCTTCCTCTGCNTCTCATTCTTCCTTTCTTCGCAGCCTGTTGGGCTTATTTCCTTGAATACCAAATGAGGCCCGCAGTGAAAATCAGGCAGGCGCGCGGGGAAGCGTCAGCTCCAACTCTGCTTCCTCTGCCGCCCCGCCCCCGGCTTCCCTTCCTCCAGCCACTCTTCGGGAGGCCCCTGACCACACAGACCCGGTCCCGTCCACGAAAGGCAAGTCTCGGGAACACAGAGGTCTCCGGGAGAAGGTGTGCTCACGGAGGCTCCGGGGACCAAGATGACGTCAGTGGCGTCCAACTCTGTTTGACCCCACAGACCACAGTCCGCCAGGTCCCTCTGTCCATGGAATTTTCCAGGCAAGAATACTGGAGTGGGCAGCCATTTCCTCCTCCAGGAGAATCTTTCTGACCCAGGGATCAAACCCACATCTCCTGCGTCGACTGCACTGGCAGTGGGGTTCTTTAACACGGAGCCTCCTGGGAAGCCCAGTCTTAATCGCATCTCCCCTGGCACTTCAGGCTGTTTTATAATAGCTCACTGGCAATAGGATGCTAATATGCCAGGATAAGCCTAGGGGAGGGATGTCCTGGAACTTCTCTGGGAGCTATTTAAGACTGAGACAGAGGGGCTTCCCTGATGGTCCAGTGGAACCAGGACTTTGAGATTGAGACTTTGAGTCTCAATTGATTGACACTTTGCCTTCCAATTCAGGGGACCTGGGTTCGATCTCTACTCCAGGAACTAAGATCCCACATGCCTCACAGCCAAAAAAGTGAAACATAAAACAGAAGCAATGTTGTGACAAACTCAATAAAGACTTTAAAACTGGTCCACATAAAAAAAGAAAATCTTAAAAAATGCAACAGACTTTTGGTATCATCTAGGTAGAACAGGGTATATACAATGACAGGATGACTTGAGTCCATACCTGTTCTGTTAACTATCTTCCGATAACTTCACATTTTCAAGGCCTGTGAGCCCCATTCTACTCACTCATTAGGGATTTAGGAAACTGGTGTCACGTGACAGTGAAGTGACTCGCTCTAGGAGAAAGCCAGGTAAAACTCGAGGGACCCTGACATGCTAAGTCCTCTCTCACTTTCCAAGAGACCTGGGGAGACCAGAGCAGGGGAAACACACTCGACATCCACCTGCCAGCTCTCTGTCCCCTTTCCCTCCCTCCCCCCACCCCAGCATCATTCCCCGATGACTCTGCCAGGGGATACGGAGAGAAAGGACTGAGTCAAAGTTGGGTCTCATTCAAGAGTCTATAGACAAGTGAACAAGGAGATAAAGGCGGGCGCCAAGCGGAGCAGGATGCCGAGGGGACGGAAGAGGAACCCCGATTCTGCCAGGGAAGTGGCCCAGTCGGTTCTCCCTTCGCAAGCGGACCCCTGGCAACGGAAGCCCCAGTGGACGGTCCCCCAAAGCCAGCACAGCCTCTCTGGCTGGTGTCTGTTTTTAGCAACCCTCATGAGTGGAAGGAAAGACTACTTAAAATACACCACCCTCTGAGACTTTTATTCCCTGTAAAACTGTCAGCCTTCTCACTCAGCTTTCTCTTTGGCATGAAGCGTTCCGGTTTATTTTGGCAACCAGAGCGAGCAACAGAACATGGCTTTCTACGGCCGCGTGCGTCCCTCCTATCAAAGCTCACTGCCGCCGGCCAAGGAGCCAGAGGGGTGGGTCTGGCTGTTCTGGGGTAGGGGAGTCAAGGGGACCCTCTTTCCGCAGCCGGATCCATGACAATCCACAGAGAGAGGACACCATCAGCTGGTCTGGGATCTCTGGGTGCACAGGGCTGACACACAGCTGCGGGGACTCTGGAGTCAGAGGCCAACGCACCCCGATTTCCTAGCTGTCTGAGCATCAGGGCCCGTGGGGCACATGGTGGTCAGAGCGCCTGGCTTCCCCGCAGGAGGACTCAATGCAAACCCCTGGGCCCTTCAGTGCGGTCCGAGGGTCTACATCTACAACTACAACTTTTTGTGAAGGCAAAACATTGGGTTGGCCAAAAATTTCACTCTTACAGAAAACCCTGAATAACCTTTTTTGGCCAACCCCATATACACCACCTAACACTGACCATCTTCAACTCTTTTAAATGCAGTGTGTTAGCTTTAAGTTCCTTCGCTGTGTTGTGTGACCATCACCCTCTCTAGATCTTTACATCAACAACCACTCTCCCCTTTCCCCCACCCTCTGGTCCCTGGGAACCTCTATCCTACTTTCTGTCCTTATGGATTCAACTATTCTAGGTAAGTGGAATCATATTTGGTCTTTGGTATCTGGCTTGTTTCGCTTAACATGTCCAAGGCACACCCACGTTGTAACATACATCGGAATTTCATTTCTTTTTAAGGGTGAACAATAGACCATGGCAGGTACAGACCATATTTTCTTTCTCCATCCCAAGGACATTTTCTATCATCAAGTGATGAAACTTGATGCTTTTCCCTGAGTTTCACATTAGGCCCGGAGAGTCCTGCTCACGGGCTGATTTCCTACTACACCTCTAGTTCCTCACACGGCTTAGCATCCATTCATTTGCTTGTGATCTGCTGGGAGTTTAGGTGTTTTACTGTTGATTCTCTCCACACACTCGCTGAGTTCCTTGAAGACAGGAAGCTCATCTTTTATTTTCCACGTGTCACCCACCCCCGGGCTTCTCCCACGCTTGCCTCGGGTCTGTGCCTTGCTCATTTGTGTTGCCTTGCTCACAAGGTGACAGCCGGCCCCCAGGGTTCTCCAGATTATGACTCACAAGGTGAAACAAACAGCATCGTAAAAAAAAAAGTTAAAACCCAGAGCTGATGATCTCAGTGTTCAACCTGGGATTGTGAGCGGGAGCCCTGAAAGCTGCAATCTGAAGTCTTACCCGAAGGGTGCAGGCACCACCTGGGACCTTTTCCCAACTGGGGCTCCAGACTGCAGTCATACAGAACTGCCCAGTGCAGTTCGAGTCTGGATGTGGGTATCAGCCCAATTAGAGGATGCATTTGCTGTTACTTCTCCCTGCTGTTTCTATTTCTTTCAACGACTGTACACTGAAATTCCCTAGAGAGGGAAATGGCAACCCACCGCAGTATTCTTGCTTGGAAAATTCCGTGGACAGAGGAGCCTGGTGGGCTACAGTCCACGGGGTCGCCAAGAGTGGAACGTGACTGAGCAACTAACGTCTGAACACTGAATATGAAACTAAGTCAAATAATTCTCTATTAAATATTGTTTTAAACAAGAGCCCTCCAGAGAATCCGCACTGATGGGAGAGAGGACTCGGTGCCCAAGGACACACACACACAACAGATGAGGCACAGGGGACAGACGTGCCCTGGGAGAGCGGGAGCCAGGCCTGGGGATCCGAGGGGAAGCTGGAAATGCCTGAGGTCTCCATCTGTTCTCTGAAAACTTGGTCCACGCGTGCTTAGGATTTCACATCAAAATGTTACAGCTCCAGACCCACCAGTGAGATTGGAGCATGTGTGTGCGCCATCTCCATCAATAGCTGCAATTTTTAGAGGGACCCTTTAAGCTAGGGCTGTACTCAGTTGACCGAGTCTGAATGGCCAAGCGAAATAGTGTCTGAAAGAGGCCAGCAGTGTCTCCAGCATGAAGTGAGAGACTGGTTTGCGGGCGTGAAAAGCCAGGCACAGCCCACGAGCTCCGGTGATACCCTGGGAACCTCCTCTGTCCATCTGAAGCCACAAAGGGGTGACAGAGAGATGCGGAGAAGGTTGGAGACCCCGTGGGGCCATCAGACCGTGAGGACGTGTCTGTAAATATCCGAAGGAGGTTACAATGCCTGAAGTGGGGGTCAAAACTCTTGTCACTGACATGTTTTGTCTCTGGGGGTCGAGGAGGGGCTGGTCTGATGCTGGTTAGGAATCCTTTCAGCAAGGCAGCCTTAAGAGGAGACGTTCAGAAAAGGAAGGAAGCATGTCATTTCTATAAATCCTAATAAATTCTGTCCAAGATTTGCCTCTAGGGGATTTGAAACGCATTCTGCCTGTGAGGGTCTTTTCGATCTACACCTGGGAAACCATGCTTCAAAAGCTTGTTTGCCATTTTCTCCTCCAAGGGATTTTCCTGACCCAGGGACCGAACCCGCATCTCCTGCATTGCAAGTGGATTCTTTTACCCACTTTGGCAGAAACCACAATTCTGTAAAACAACTATCCTTTAATTAAAAAACAAACAAAATTAAAAACAAAAACAAAAAAGCCCTGTTTGGAGGCAGCATCTGAAAAGCAACCAGGAGAACCCCTCTCTGTGCCATTTCCGTGAGATGGTAATAAAGGTTGGGGCAAAATCTACAGAGGGGGTGGGGGGGAAAGCAAGAGGACTTCAGCCTTTGCCGAGCTGACATTTACCCCTTCGGCCCAGCATTGCCAGAGGAGGCACCGGCCTCAGACTGGTAAACCACATTCTCCCTTGTAACTCAATATATTACCCCAGCAGGGCACTCAGAATCCCCCTGACCATCCAGAGGGGGTCATCACGAAGTCCCTTGCATTCTTGAGCTTCTCCATGGTAACTCGAGAGGGCCTCGGAGCTGACACCCCTCTCCCGGGCTGCTTTAAGCCAAAGGCCTTTTTCAAACAAAAAGATCCCAGGAGCTGCAGCCAGGCAGGAATGCAGGGTTCCCAGGCCCGGGCGTCAGAGCCTCTGGGTTCCAGTCCCTGGCCGGTGACCCTGGCCTCTCCACCTCTCTGACCTCGTAGAATCACCCTGGCCTGGACCTTCTAAGGACCGTCATTTCCAACCAGCTGAATCAGAGCCTCTCTGGACCCTGGCTTCTCCCCCAAACCTCTCTTTCTTCTAAAGAGCTTCAAATTCTGGCATCCAGAGTAACAGCCTCTGAACTGTCCATGGGGCACCCAGAATGGAAAAATCTATAGCTAATAATAGTTCCTTGCGTTTGCATGGCACTTAACTCTTTTTAAAGTGCTTTTTAATCCATCATCACAATGAACTAAAGGGAAATGAGAGGCAGGCGCGAGGGCTTGAGAGGTCAGTGGAGGCGGACACCTCCTCACGGGAGTGGGGGGGCCCTCCTCTCCCACGCCCTGTGGTGCAGGGGGGCCCCCCGCTCCGGCCCTGCCTGCCAGCCTCAGCGTGTGTGAGCAGGCGAGAAGGCTCCACGCTGGAGGAGAGGCAGGCTGGGGATTGTACATAAATGGAAACAAGCAACAAATCAGACCCGCGGGGAAGCCCGGGCCATACAGGAAAGCAGTCAGCGGCCTCCCTCCCGCCTCGGATCTGCCTGCTAAGTTCTCCCCTCTATCTTGAGGGCACATGGGCTGCTGAAACCTGAAGAGGCGGCCTTACCTGCTGAATTCTGTACAACGTCGGAGGCCGTGGTCTTGGTAAAGAGAAGCCAGCTGCCACAAAGAACCTTTGACACATCACCAATCCCACCAACTGTCTCTTTTCCCAAGCAGACGGACGAGACGCCTGGTCTCGGCCAGGAGGGACAGGGGCCACCTACCACGTCGGTGTTGGTGATCTTTGCCAGGAGATCCACCAGGGCGTCTCCGGTGAGTGAGCTCACGTCCTCGTCCTGCTGAAGCCCACAGATCGCGGCCCCCACGCTTCCAGTTGCAATCATCGATGGCGGGTACATGGCGAACTTAAAGTCTGCGGGGACGAGAGGCAGGGAGGTCACGACAGGGTGGAGACAGGTGCTTCTCCGCTCGGAAGACGGATAGCAGAAGTGCCACCTGGTCCCACGGAGGCGTTAGAACCCATGTGATTCACCACCCAAAAAGTGGAAGGTTGGGGTGGGGGCTGCTGCGGAGGGAGGACATGCATCCCAATTCAAATCCCAGCACAGGGGACTTTCCAGGTGGTCCAGTGGCTAAGACTCTGCACTCCCAATGCTGGGGGCATGGGTTCGATCCCTGGTCGGGGAACTAGACTGCACCTTACTGCAACTAAGAGTTCACGTGCCACAATGAACACCAAGTGCAGCTAAATAAATATTAAAAAAAAAAAACAACCAAAAACCCCAACCTGAGCATTGGGTTGAGCCCACAGAAACAGTTTAACCTATGGCTTCTCCCTCTTGCTAGCATATCAACATTTTCCATGGAGGCACTTTTATTGCTGACTCCAAGGTCTACATCGAATGAGGGGCATCCTTAGAAAACTGTGCTGGGTGGCTCAACGAGGCACACGCTCCCCACCCCTCCTGGCCGAACGCCATGAACACAGCAGGCCTGGCTGGCTGTCTTTCTCCTTGGCCTTCTTGTCTTAGTCCGGGCACCATCTCCACCTCTTGAGGGGTGTATATCACAACATTCCACCCAAAGCCTGCTGCTCGGTGACTTGTGCGGGGCCTCCTCTGTCCCCTGGATGGTGGCGAAGCCAGCCTCCCTCCCTCTTCTCTGCTGTAGGTCTCTTCACATGGGGTCCCGGCAGTGTTTCTCTGCCCAAAAACCTTGTTAGCTCCCCCCACCCCACCAGACATTCACAATGCAGAGGCGGCAGCCAGCCTGTGGCCCTGGGCCTGCAGGGGCTTGGGGTGGGAGCAGCTGGCAGGGAAAGGTGGGGCAGGAGGAGTCCCCGCCTCCTGGCCCCCTCCCCCTCCCCCAGTGCCCAAGCCTCAGCCCAGAAGCACAGTCCACACACTGCCTATCTCTGCATCCCACTACCTGCACACCCAACCCCTACTTCTAGCAAATTAACCAACTTCTAGAAGCCAGGGGGTGCGGGTGGAAGGTCCAGGGGGTGCCCAGAGGACTGTACTCCCTTGTTTGGGGTGGGGAGGAATGCTGAGAGACATGGTCCCCTGACCCCCGACGACTGCACCTATGAAGCAAGGGAAGCCAGGCAGGCTCCGCTGAGTTGCCGGACTCTGAGCAGCTGGCCACTCTCCTCTGGGTTAATCCAGTGGAGGTGACATGAGCGCTGCAAAGCCAGGTTCAGCCCCCTGGGGGTCCTGGACCAGTCATGCCCTCCCTCCCAACCTTAAGTTAGTTTTTCTAACTTCCCTTGCAACTCAGTACCCATCACCAAGTTCACTTGTGGGTCGCGACCTGCATGTTCTGTTGTTGCTGTTGTGCTGAACAAAATAAAAGTATCAGGAAGGAGGGCCTGTGGTGGAGAGTCAACACTGTCTGCAGAAACTCTTGTATCAATTTGAGGTACACTGATGAGGCATCCTAAGTGGTGTTATAAAATGTATTTCTTCCCTTATGGTTTAGGTCAAAAAGTTTAAAGGCAGTAGGCTGGCTCATCTCCCAGGGGCCCCTCCAGGTCTAACTAACTTTTATTTAAAAAAAAAAAAAATTAGAATGTAACTGCTTTACAGTGTTAAGTTTCTGTTGTACAACATAGCAAATCAGCTGTATACATACATGGATCCCCTCTCCATGTATATATGGAGAGCCTCCCTCCCACCCACTCCCATCCCACCCGTCTAGGTCACCACAGAGCAGACACCCTGGCTTCCACCAGGCGGGAAGTCACAAGACAAGTCTCTCAATCCGGCAGTTCTAAAAAAAAAAACTATATGAGTGTGTGCTATGATCAAGATTGCAACCACCCATAAATATATAAACAGGCATAAATGTACATGAATATAGGGGAACTAGAAGATACAAAGATACATGTAAACTTCCCCACCACTGGGTGGGGAAAACTTATTTTAGCAAAAATTAAATATCATGTAACAATCTCCCCTGAATCTCTAAGTCGCTTGCTCAGAAATGCTGACAAGTTGTATTCTGGTGCTGAAGGCACGATCAGGGGTGAGCGTCTCCCTCCACCCTCAGCTCTCTATCTGGAAGCATAAAGTGTGTGTCACTTCCTGAACAACCCGACCCTCAGGAGAGTGAGAGGCAGTTAGCTGAGCAGGGACCCATTTGGATCATGTTCCCCCGCGCACCATGGATGGTCCCCTGCCCCCCAAATACAGGACATAAAAATACAACACAGGGTGGTTCATTCTAAAGATACATCTCCTAAGAAGGCAGATACCCCCACATGGATAGGAGCATCCACGCGGAGCCACGCAGGCCTCCCCTAGTTGGTGAGAAGGGTTTGGGCCACGCAGCTCGAAGGACTGGAAGATGGAGGCCATGGAGGCTGGTAGCCCACTGCCCACCAGCTGCTTGAAGGTCTCCCGGGCCAGTCACCTGACCTCTCTGAGCCTCCGTTTTCTCACCTGCAAATGAGGGCAATAATTATACCCACCTCCTAGGGTAGTTCTGAGGATTCAACCGAGAGCAGCACCCTGCTCACAGTTCACATCAACTGCCATCACCATCACCCCCCACTATTCCTAACACCGGGACTTGCTGCGGGATGGGGGGCGGGCAGTAGTTTTTTGGCCACACCTCATGGTTTGTGGGATCTTAGTTCCCCTACCAGGGCTCGAACCTGTAACCCCTTGCGTTGTGGAAACACTTAATCTTAATCATTGGACCGCCAGGGAAGGCCCGGGGGGTGGGCAGCTCTGTCAGAGATCTGTTCAGCATCTGCAGTGATTCAGGGGAAGGTGCATGAGGAGCCCAGAGAGAATGAGGGATCTGCTCTGGGCCTGGAGGCTCCTTCCGGATCGTGTGTGTGTGTGTGTGTGTGCGCGTGTGCGTGAGACAGGAACACGGCCTCATGAAGTCCCCACCACCTCCTGCTACTCTGTCAGGGACAGGAGAAGCTGAGGTCCCATGGGGACGTGGGGGTAGGGGAGACAGAAAGACGACATAAGTATACAGGCAATCAAAGGGAAGCTGGATGGACCGTATTCATTCCTGCAAGAGCAGGGGCAGCCAGAGCCAAGGGACAGGCCCACACACCTGCAGCCCCGACCTGACCCCCGCCCTCCCGGTGAGGCGGGGCAGGCAAAGGGCGCATCTCCACCGACCAGCCCTGACGGCGTTCCTGCAGTTTGCTGACTTGGCCCAGTATTAGCAAAAACAAGGTAAAATTCACCTGTTTCAGGACACTGGCTTTTACCGGTGAATCGGTGAAATCTCCAGAGGTTAAGCGGCTTTGTCTAGCGTCTGCTGCTGGGTTTGCAGGCGCCTGGACTTGGCACCCAGTGCGCCGGAGGACTCCTCGGAAGGTGAAGGGAGCCTTCCCCCCCAACCTCCAGCCCCACTAAGAACTCAGGGTCGTCTCTCCCATCAGAAACGGAAGAAATGCCCAGCGGAGGGAGCCTAGGCTTTGACGTCCGAGAGACGGAACCCGTTCCATCCTCAGCCGCCCCGCCGCCCCCGCCACCAACCCTGCTCTTGCTCTGGGACCCTGCAGAGATTCTCCCCACGTCTTTCAAGGACCTCCGGGAGGCCCTTTAACCCAGGCAAGGGCAAGAGAAGTGCTCCACGTTCATCAACTCAGGAAGATGTCACTGGAGGAAGCGTTCTGAGCTAAGCAGGTTTGCAGCCGCAGATTACAGCGCCCTGGCGGGTCGCGTTATCCCAGTTGTTTTGACTACGACGGCGGAGGCCTTGACCGGCTAAGCGTGACTGCTGTGCTTCTGTTCACCACTGGGGGGCGAGAGAGGCTCTCTCTGAGGTGTCAACCAGAGCCGCCCTCCATCTCTCCCGCAACCTGGCGTCAGTCCGGTGGGGGTTTAAAAGGCCAGGGTGAGGGTGCTCAGTGGCCACCGAATGACGTCATCGGCGGCCCCCAGAGCCGGTTCAGCCCACCCCGTCCTTGTGGGAGCCTCGATGCCAGTTTAACTCCAGCGGCCTGGCTGGGAGCAGGTGGCGGGAGGAGGGCCCTCAGCCGGCTCCTCACAGCAAGATGGGAGATGACACGGCCTTGCCAGGCTGCCTGTCCCCACGAGGGAAGACGGGAGACTCCCCCTGGGCCCGGCGACCCTGGCTCCTGGAGGTCAGAGAGCGGTTTCCATTCTTCCTTCCACTTTCCAACCACCCAGGCAAACCTCCCTTCCTGGCTCAGGCACCAAGTGGTAGATCCTCTCTGGGCCGTTACTGTGTGTGTGTGCGTGCGCGTGGTTGTGTCCGATTCTTTGCAACCCCACGGACCGTAGCCCGCCGGGCTCCTCTGTCCATGGGTAGAAACCAACGCAACACTGTAAAGCAACTCAATTCAAAATGAATGAAAAAAGAATACTGGAGTGGGCTGCCTCCATTTCCTTCTCCGGGGGATCTTCCCCACCAAGGGATCGAACCCACATCTCTTGCCTGTGCCTACACTAGCAGGCAGGTTCTTTACGACTGGAGCCACTGGGCCATCACTCTCTGGCTGCAACCTGGGGATGAACTTCACAAGAACACCTGGAGGCAAAGCCAAGACGACGGCTGGGAGCACCGGGCATGATACCATCACCGGGGCCCAGGCCCGGAAGTCTGGGTGGGGGGATATACTCATGTGCAGGAGAGCTGAGGGCAGCACCTTGGGGTGGGGGGCACCTAGGCAAAAAGAGGAGAGGCCAGGCGCCATGGGTAGGGAGGTAAACACCTCCTCTCCCCTCCCCACCCCCCCCCACGCCAAGTTCAACCTCAGTGCCATTGGCTCTTCTAGACTAACTGGAAGCATCTGTTGAGCATGATATCATGCGTCAAGAATCTCCCCACGCCAGCGTGCGATCCTGAGTCATCCCAGTGGTCTCCGTCCCCCTTGGCAGACCTGGGGGGCTCTGCCATCAGGACCCGCCTGCTGCCTGGCAGCTGAAGCTCCCCAGGAGCCATAACGGCTCCCCCCTCGCCCCGTGGCCTCCACCGACCAGGACCAGACGGAGGGAGTCTCCACCCCACAGGCTATTCGGGTTTGAGCAGGGGAGGTAAGGAGGCACCTCTCCGTCTCACCATGTTATGCTTCAAGCCCCAGGAAGAAGACCGACACCCCCTACTCGTCCCACCTCCAGCCTCTTCCCCTTTCACACACAGGCACTCTCTGCAGACAGCGGGACCAAGGCCAGCTCTTTCACAAGCATCTTCCCCCCTCGACTGGCCACAGCGCCCCAGGGTCGCTACCAAGTCCCTGGCTGCCAGAGCTCAGAGACAGAACCGGCGGGATCCACGTGGGGTGGGGGTGGGGAAACGGGACCCGAACTCCTGGAACTTCCCATCTACCAGTCCCAGACACACACCCAGGGTGTGGCATCTCATCTAACTGAGATGAAAAGCAGCTAAGAAAAGCGGCCCCCAGGCTCTCGATCCATCAGGTCGATGGCCTTAAAGCCCCAGCCAGCAGGTTGGCATGTGACATAGCCTTGCAGACACATTCAAGGGCAGATGGGGAAAAGAAAAGCCTCCAGAGATAGGCTTCTTCCTTTAGGAGACACAGGAGACCTGTGCTCTGAGCAGACCACACCTGGGGCTTACTGAGTACCTGGCTAGAAGTCTTTTCTCCTATCCTTCCCCAGCCCCTGCCCCACACTAGCAAGGCAGTCTTCCCAACTTCCTCCGCCTCCCCTCAGACCTCTGTCCTCAGTCCCTGAATCCCAGGCTCCCTACTCTGGCCCCAAACTTGGCAGCTGCCCCAAGGATCTGGCCAAGAAGGCCCGGAGTGGGGGATGGGATCCCCAATTTTAGAGAATGGGCCTTTAGAGAATGTGGGGACCTGCTCTAGGCCTGGGTGACTCCACCCGCCCTCCTATCCAAGTTGGACATCGAGGAGCGGGCAGACGGACCCCAAAAGGTACATCAGTTAAGAGACAAGGTCAAATCAGAGCTCTGGCCATCAACAGCTGGGCAATGCGGGAGTGCAGGGTCAGGAGTCAGCTGTCCGAGAGAGAGAAAAGGACTGGCTGACCCCCTCCCCCAGTGAATAACGACCACGGAGAAGGGGGGACAGGCGGGGCCTGGGAGACAAAGTGACAAGTCAATGAGGGGCTGACCTCAAGGGCCCAGGCCAGACAGCAGAAAGGGAAGCAGCTAAGAATGGCCATAGCCTGCAAGGCAGCAGGGATCAACAGCTAAGAGTGGCCCCCGGGGCTGTAGGAAGGGCACAGACTGCATCTGGGAAGCCCAGGGAGGGGAAGCTTGCCCTGGGACCCATGGTGGGGGGGCTGGACCCTGCATCTGAGCCAGCGAAGGCCGAGCGTGGCATCCTGCTGGACTCAGACGGCGCAGCAGGGTCAGCGTGAAAGTCACTGTATCCGCCTTAGCTGAAGAGTCAGCATCGGAGTCACATTCACAGTTAGTACTAGGGCCCATGGCCTACACCTTCTGGTTGACAAAGGGCCTCCTCACCCATCATCTCTTCTGATGTCCGTTTTCCTAACCACCCTGAAAGGGTTGTAGGAATGTCAGTGTTTTGCAGATGAAGAAGCCAAGGTTCAGACAAAACTTAAGCACACTCAGAGGTCACCCAGTGGTATGTAGCAAAGCCAGACCTTTTGACTGCAAACAGGGAATGGACACTATTGCAAACAATGTGTTCTTCTCCTTGGGCTCCAGTATAATATGTAACAAGATGCTGAAAGAAGTCAATCCCCAGGCCCACCTTTGCAATGCAAGTGCAGACTCCCGGCAACCTTGAACTCCGCCCTCTCCCCCACCTCCCGGCGGGGGGGCGGGGGGAGCAGGGGGCGGAAAAAGATCTGCCCAAACAAGTTCTTTCCCTGACACTTTTGCTTGTGAAAATATGAACTCCTGATGCTCCACCCTAGATGACTGCGGGTCCGGAGTTTCTCCCACAGCCACTACCGTTGCGGGGCAGGGAGTGGGGGGAAATGTAGAAACTGGCCAAGGTTCAGTGTGATGAGACTGTATCAAACCACTGCCTTTAGTGTATTAGTTAATGGCACAGGGGCCAACAAGATTACATATCAATTGTGGCATCAACAGGGTAGGTGTAGCGCTTGTTAACATGAAAAGGCCATTGCAATGTTACAGGCTGCAATCAAAACCTCAACACTGGAGGGAGGGTAGCAGACAGAGCCCAGGCTTCGGAAATGACTCCCGGCTGCAAAGTCCACAGGTCCAACCCCACCCCGCCAGAGGGAGCAGCCGGAGGCAGTCAATGCCCTGCCAGAGAAATCCTGGGGCCTCTTCGCTTCCCACGTAACAGGGCAGGCGGTATTTATCTTGACAGGGTTCCTTAACCTGTATTTGCCTCCACCCCCCAAATTTCCTCTTGGGCTTATCTCCAAGCCATCCTTTCCCCTCCAAAGATGAAAGATTTAAACACGACCAGAGAGCATATAATAATCTTCAAAAGAGCACTTTAGACACCATAAAGAATATTTTAACAGGCACTATTTTTTTTTTCTTCTCCTTACCACACCTGTCCTCGTAAACCATTTATGAGTTTGGCAGAGAGAGAAAATATACCAGCTGAGATAAAAGATGGAAAAAACTGCCCAGGAAACCTTGGACTCTAAAGAGACTACCGGGGACCCCCCCCCCCACCCCCACCCGCACCCCCGTAAATGCTCAGAAGTTAGGGCTGTGGTCTACCTCCCCTTGCAGCCCCCCAAAGCCCTCCTCAGCACCCAGCCACCCCGCCTCCCTGGGGCTCCAGCAGTTCCTACCAGTGGCGCACAGAGCGATGAAGGTCTGAGCGTGCTTGCGAATCAGCGACAGCTTCTCGCCGGGCTGGGGCAGCTTTCGAAGGATGTGTTCGATGAAGTCATGGGGGGTGACAGCCGCCAGGTTCCATTTCAACTTGCCCAGCACCACCAGCTCCCACTCCTGGGGAGGGAGGGAGGCGGAAAAGGGTATAAAACCCACACAGGCTGACCCAGTGTCCCGGATGGGAGGCTTGGGATCTAGACCAGTTGTTCGAGGATGTTCATTAGCACGAGGCTAGACTGGAAGGCAGGTCCATTTATCAGAGTGGCCCTAAAGTTTTGAAGTGGGTGATGACTCCGAAGGCTTCAAATGTCAAGCTCCCCGGAAATTAATGAGTGCCCAGGCGGCCGCTGGCTCGATGGTCCTTTCTGCTATTTCTTCAGCCTCTCCAGCTGTACACCACCCCTCCTTCCCCACTCAACCCTGACTTCCAGAGGATGCTCTCACCCGCCCACCCAGAAGGTTGAATCCACAGTAAAATACCACCAAGGTTGTGGTGGCCCTTTGGTAGGAATTTATCGTATATATCAGTGACTGGATTAATAAGTCTTTTTTCATCCTCCTGGAAAAAAGATGTACACAGAAAGAAGCTCAAATTTAGGTTTCTTGGCCCAAATCCTTGGCAACCAATTACCTTGCCTGCCGTTGGTGCCAAAAAGTGCCATTTTCCTCTCTGCTGCTAAGACTTCGCACTGCACACACAATGCAGAAGACCTCAGGAAATGACACCCAGACACACCACACCCTTCCACATACAGGTTTTTGCAAGTTTTTGTTACCATGACTGAAGGACCGGAGGGTCACTGGCCACCCCGTTTTGCAGCTGGAGGGGATTCAGGGGTGGGTGAAAGTGTTTGTTCAAGGTCATAGAGAAGCACGCAGCCCAGATGCTGGCACAAGGCAACCCGGGGTCTGTGGGCCTCTCACCAGCATCCCACCTACTGAAAAAAACCTTGTTTCTTTCCCTCATTGAGATACTTCAGGGGGAATTGTGTTCAAGGGAAACAAGCCAAAAAGAACGCCTTAAAAATATGTGCTGAGGGAAAACAGGCCTATCGATCGATCATCATAAGAATGAGCGGTTAAGAGCAGCCTGAGAGTGCAGCTCTCAGTTTCCTCGGGTGAAACTGACTCTTTTCCTCCCAGTCACCGGAGCCCCATTCTACCCACTCCCCATGGCACCCACCAGCTGTGTGGGCTCAGCCAATGCCCTCCCCTTCCCTGGTCTTAGCTTCCTCATTGGTAAAAATAGGAGGACCCCTCTAGATCTCAACTTCTGGGATAAAGAGACTAGGAAAAGGCAGATGTGTCTGCAGAAATATAAATTAGCTTGGCAGACCCTCCAAAAACTTGGGGTGCTCTAAAAAGATCTGAGCTCCCCCCACCATGACGAAACAGTGAAGCAAAAGGAAGATAATTTTTCCTGGTCTCCCTTGGGGAAAAATATAATAACGGGATCTTAATTCTACCCATTTGTTTGTCTTTGCTGGCTTTAATGTTGGCCTTCGCTTTTTTTCCGGAGGTTGGGGGTAAAAACACAGATAGCCTCCTAAACAATCAGGGTCTTTCCAAGACGGCTTGAAATTCCAGCTCTCCTTCTCACGGGAGAATGTGAGTATAAACCACTCGACTTGTACCATTATTAAAGGAAGCAGATCTCCCAGAAGAAAGCACCTTTCTGGGCCTCTCCGACCAAACCAGAAGCAGCTGAAATCTGGCAGCTGTTCAAAGGTGAGGTCATTCATGCCCCTCTGCATTCTCGGAGATTCCTCCCCGTCTTTGCACATGTCTGCCGCTAGGTGGCAGCACAGCCTCAGGGAGGAAGGCCTCTCACAAAGAACTCGGTTCAGGCAGCCAGTCCCGGCCCTGGGGACTTTGGTGCAGGCCTGGCCGGCAGGGAGGGAGGTTGGAGGGGAGAAACAGGGGGGGCCCCTCTTCCAAGGAGTTGGGAGACGGGTGTGCAGATCACTGAAGGTGGGCCTCTGGGGCCGCTCAACCAATGCCACACTGCAGCTACATGGCCGTCTTAAGCGTGACGCTGCAGAGACAAGGGGTACTGGCTGGGAGAAAGGTTTGCTGGCAGAAAACCAGAGCCCAGACAGGACCCCCGTGTCTGTACAGAGGTTCCAGCCCCACCGGAGATGGGAATCCACGCCTCAGAATCCGCCCACAAAGGGCCAAACTCGACTCTGCTCAGAAGCCAGTGAGTTGGTGTTTAGTGAACAGCTACTATATGCAGCTATGCTGGAGAGTCCGAGAGATTCCCTAGACCGTACCTTTGAACTCCTAGTTCTTAGGAGACATGTCACAACATGTCTGGATCATGTGAGAGGTTGACGAGTGTCTCAGAAGTCAGTGATTGAAAATTGGGAATTTAAGTAAAACATTATCACTCTGTTCTATACCTCCGCCACACACACACAGACACACACACACAGACACACACACACAGACACACACACACAGACACACACACACAGACACACAGACACACACACACACACACACACACACATTCTGCAAATGAGTGTCCCCAACCCAAACCTCTGTGAAGGATCTTATGCATGGGCGGAGCCTGAGTACTTTGTATATACAGTCCAGCACACAGTAGGAACACAAGGAGTCTCAATATAAAGGGCGGAGCTCCTCGAAGGGTGGACATTTCACAGATGGGTAATTTGGGGTCCTAAGGGTTTGTTCTGGGAGCGGTGGGTCAAGGCGGATTAGGCCAGGGCAGAGCAGAAAGGCAGGCAGGCAGGAAGGAGGCAGTCATTACCAGCAGCTCCTGAGGCTTGATGGAGTTGTCGGTGTAAATGCACAACTTCTCAGCGGTCAGCGGGATGGTCTCTTTGAGCTTGGACGCCAGGAACATGCACACGGCCCCCAGCAGCTGCAGATGGGTCTTCGGAGTTGGGACTCCGGCCAAGAAGCGGTCCAGGTAATTGATGGCGAGAGGAAAGACCTCCTCTTCGCACTTCTGCTCCTCACAGACCTACGACACAAGTGGGAAGGGGTCGGGGTGGGGGGAGACCATAATATCAAGAAAGGAGGAAGAAAGGGAAATCGCACAATCTAGGGAAATGACAAAAATATTGAATTGGGGGGGAGGGGAGGGGAGTAGAATAAGCGATAAGAATGAAGACAAGGAAATTGGGGGCAATCTACATGGCCATCCGCGCGGGGGTCCTCCCCGGGAGCTTAAAATCTCAAAGGAGAGGGGGGTTAAGGACCCCGAAGCCGAGGGCGCAACAGCGCCGGCCCCGCGGCCCCCGTGGGCCGCTCACTACTCCGGGCGCTCGCACTCACTCACTCTCTTTTTTGGATTTCGTCATCTTTTCAAAAAATCAATAAAAATATTCTGGAGGCTCCGGGGGTCTCGTTCTTGGTCTCATTCGGATCCCCAGACCCTGCTCTATCATTCCCGACAATTGAAAAAATTGTCGGGAGGGGTCCTCGCGGCCCAGGCGCCGCATTTGGGGGGGTGGGTGGGGAGAGGTGGGGAAGCGGGGGGAGGGCGGAGGGAGCGAGCGCCGCGCAGCCTGGGCGGCCGGAGTCGGAGCAGGGGAGACGGGTTCAAAAAATAATTAAAAATCGAGGAAATATCCCAGAAAAGCCCTTTCGCCGTGAAAACCCCGCAGAGGACCCAGGCTTCCCGCAGCGGAGGTTTGGGGCGCCGGGAAGGTCTGGAGCGCGACCCCTGGGGCTTCGGATCCCGAGGGGAAACTTGCAGGGGAGAGCGCGGCGGCGGGAGTGTCCGGCCGCGGCCCACAAGGGCAGAGGCCGGGGACAGTGGCGAAGAGCTGGGGGACGCTCGAGGACGGGGAGCCGCCGGAGAGAGGCGCGGGGGGCTCCGGCCTTTCCTTCGGGGGGGGGCCCGCTATCCCCCCTTCACACACCTCCTCCCCCTCCCACCCCACCCAGATCTCCGCACCCAGGAAACTGAAGGCCGAACCGTAAGTAACCTTCACGAGGGGGCGGGGTGGGTGATGGGGGGGCGAGGGCGCCATCAGGAGTGGGGGGACCGGGGTCGTGGGGTGCGAGGGGGAGCAGGCGACGCGTCCAGCCTCTCCACCCCCGAGTTTACAAAGCAACATGGCGAAACCACGGCAGGTCCGGAGCCGTGCAGACGTGGGCACACGGCAAGGGTTCGGAGCAAGGGGAAAGAAGTGCTTCTTCTGGGTTCCCCGAAAACACACGTTTCTTCAGTGTGACTTCCGGGGCTCCTGAATTCCCCGTTTCTCTTCTCCCTCCGCCCTCCCCCTCCCCCCTTAAGTGCCAACGCGGAGTCCCGACCACATGCGGGGACCCGAGGCTGGGACCCATTTGCCCTGGCCTGGGGGCGGGAGCGCAGCTCAGTTTTTAACTTCGGGGTTCACCCTCCTATTCTCTTCTTCAAGGCACCGAAAGCAGCCTCGGCTTAGCAAAAGGTCGCGGCGGGGGTGGGTGCCGGTGGGAAGAGGTGGCAGCCACATGCAGGCACACGCGCTCGGGATGCTCCCCAACCCCCCCGCCCTGGGACAGCCTCGCTGCTCTCCCCCTCCCCCCGGGAATCTTGCACCCCCTGCAAGGAACCGAGAGGAAGCCACGCGTCTCGCCGAGGGCGCGGGGGCAAGCTCTGGCGCAGGAGTGGGGAGGCGGGCTCCCAAGGTTGCCCTCGCCCAGGTTCGGGGACCCGGCGCGGGGGCCGAGGGAGCGCCTGCCTGCAGCCCTACCTCCAACATCCAGGTGGCCACCATCCTGCGCATGTAGGGCTGAATGTCCTTCTGCACGCACTTGAAGTAGGAGCACTGGGGCAGGTAGCGCTCCTCGATGGTCAGCAAGTTCTGCAGCACGCGGTCGTCGTGGAGCAGGTTGGCGTCCGGCACAGCCCTGCGGACCGGCTCCACCTCACCGCACAGCAGCTCCATGGCCAGCGGGCTACTCGCTCGCGCCCCTGCGATCTCCGGACTGGAAAAGTTGGGGGTTTTTTTGGGAGGGGGGAGGGGAGAGGATTCCCCGTACCTCCTTCCTTTGGCTAAATAAGGGGTTTTTTTGGGGGGGGGGAGAGTTAAGGGCAGAGAGAGAGAGAAGCCGTGGAAGAAGAGTGAAAAGGGGTAGGATGGGCGGTGGGAGAGGAGCGCCCCGGGGGCGACTGACTCTCTCTGCCCTCCCCTTCAAACTTGTCTGCTCTCCCCAGCTCGCTCGGCTCTCTGCTCGCCGAGGCAGTGACGCAAACTGGCTGGGCAGTTACTTCTCCTCCCTCTCGCCTCACCCCCCTCTCCGGTTCCTCCTCCCCTTCCCTCCCCTCCCGGCCCTCCCCTCCTCCTTTCAGCCTCTCCCTCCTTTCCCCTCTTGTTATTAAGGAGAACAGCAGCTGGCCCGACCAAACTTCAAACGCGGTCCCCCGCGCCGCCCCCCACCCTCTCCCTTAGCTCTCCAAGGCCCTCTCCCTCCACCAAGCCAGGGGCCCAGGAGAGGGGAACCCACCAAAAAAAAACCCCACCAAAAACCCCACCGATCCCTACTTATTCCCTGTAATTGCAGCACATTCTGTAGGTGCATCCCGCCAAAAATACGACCCTCCGACTCTGGCTTCCTCAAACATGATCGCCACACTCCAGCCCACGAATTTAAGATCCAGGAATGACGGGTGGGTGAGCTGAAGATGAGGTGGGCTCAGACGATTGAGAAATAAGATCCCTTATATGAGCCCGAAGGAGGGCGATTTTGGGAAACAGTTAACTTTGCATACCCAGAGGAAAAGGGTATGTATGGCCCTGAAATGTACGTTCTTGATCCTTTTCAGCCGGTTTCCGAAACCCGATTCTAGGGACCAGAATACATTACCCCCCCATCTCCGCCCCATGCCACCGCCCTCCCCTCCCCACCCCCCGCAGATGTGTGGGGAGAGGAAGAAGGCGGAGGGGTGGGTGTTCGGAGGGAGGGGGCGCTTCTTCGACGTGGGAGAATGTGACCTAGGAGCAGAAACCCTCCCGTTCTTGGGGCGCCGCAGGCGCCACTGGGAGACGCGGGGAGGCGCCCCGAGCCGCCGCAGGCCGGGGGCAGGGCTACCAGCGGTTCCGCCGCGGCCAGCGGCCACGCAGGAAAAACCCGCTTCCTCGCCCTGCATCTGCTGACAAGCCGCCCGAGGTGTCTGCGCCGAGCGTGGCCACACTGATACAGCTTTCTAGGAAATAGCCCGGGGGGGGGGGGGGGGGGGGGGGGGGGGGGGGGGGGGGGGGCGAGAGAGGGGGTAGGTTGGGCTCCCCGTCTCTCCCCCAGCGCAAACGACACCACCCCTTCGTTTCCTCCGAGGCCCAAGATCTCCCACCCCAGGTCCCTCGCCGGCACCCTCGCGGACCCTCCGGGTTCACGCCTCCGTCGCAGCCAGGGCTTTCTCCCCGAGAGCTGGACTGCGGTGGAGACGCGGTCGGCTCCGACACGTGCTCCGACGCATCCTCCGGTCAAAGCCGCTTTGGGAGGGGATCCGGGGGCGTTTCCTCACCTCCTTCCTTTTAAAAGGGTGAGTAAGAGTTTGGGGCGCCGTCTCCCCTCCCTCTATTTGCATAGCCAATAGCTCTGGGTCTCCTGCTACTGCGCGCTGATTGTTACCGGGCAGATTACTTTTTTTTTTTTTTTTTTTTTTAGTAGGACGCGTTCCCCGCTACATCAAAAGGAAGCCAAGGAAGAGAGGGCGGAGGGAGAGCGGGGATGGGGCGGGCGGGGGCTGGGGAGAGGCCCGGGCGCCCGCGACCTTATCAATAGCCGCAGGAATTAGGATCCAATCGACTGTACGTAAAGAAAGGGGAGGGAAGGGGGCGGGCGAGGAGAATGTCTAATTGCGGTGGAAGCCATTAGCTTTCGGGAAGAAAAAAAAGCTCGCTGAAAAACCCAAGTTGCAAACTCAAAATGAAACAGCCCCGCGCGGCGGGTGACACCCGGGGCCCAGGAGCATGTTCCTCTGAAAAGATCAGGTCCCTCACAATCACCTATTGATTTCAGTCAACGTGGACTTCCCGACTCAGGCCTTGAGTCACTCCGGATAAATACGTTAACTTACATTTTAAGACCCCATAAAAGACCTACTCAAACTTCAGCTCAGCCACCTTTGAGCGGATCAAAGCAAGCCTGCAGGAGTGGGGAGTGGAGTGGGCTGGGGGGCAGTGGGGGCGAGAGAGGTATTTTTAAAGTATAAATCTACCCCGACAGGCAAGGACAGAAGCCGGCCAGGGCCCCCAGCCTCTTGACATCACTTGATAACTAACCCAGCACGGTCTTTTCTCCACCTCCCTGCAGAGAAAGCATCCTGAGCTCTGGGTCCCCTGAAGAGGGGCAGCGGGGGGCGGAGGGGGAGCGGGGAAGAGGCGGGTGGTCGTCCTCCGGGCCTCGCCCACCCTGGGGAGAAAGCCTGGGTGGCAGGGCCTCCAGTCTCCGGAGCGAGCCGAGGGGCCCCCTTGCCCCTTCCCTCCCCCCAACCCCAAACCCGTCTGGCTTTACTGAGAAATTCCGGCGGGGAGCGGGGCCGGGGGCGGGGGGGAGGCGGTTGTGAAGGGGAGGGGCGCAGGCGGGTGCCCCTCTCCCCGCCGCCCTCTCCGTCCACCCAGAGCCGCCAGTGCGGGTGCTCCCCGCGCGGCAGGCTCGCCCCTTCCAGTTCCCCGTTGACTTCCCCTTCCGATCACGGACTCTATCCGAACTGCAACCTCGCGGCGAATCCATCCCCCAGTGGTTCGGGCGCCGAGGCTCGGGGTGGGGCGTGCGAGGGTGCGGAGGTTGGCAGGAATGTCTCCGGGAGGCTTGGACTGGAAACTGAGTTTTCCCTTTTGGTCGCCACTCCGACCATGTGTTAAAAGCTTAATTTTGCTTGTTAAAAAGCACACCGTCTCGCACGCGGGAAAAGGCACGTTGCCTTCTGGGCAAACCTGCGCATTTTCTTTCAGTGTAGATGTAGGCTTAGAGGGGAAAGAAGAAAAAAAAAACCAAAACCAAACTCGTGCTCTGGCTTTTAAGTCAAAACTGGTCACTGTTGGGGGCGGGGGGGAAGAGAATGTTGGCTCTTCCTTATTCCTTTTCCATCCCTCGAGGGGAAAAAAAATTCCTACCCTTCGAAGGATCAGTGATAACCTTTAGCGAACGTCAGTTTTATTGGACTTTTATTCCCTCCCTGGCCGGCTCACCACCCCTCGCGTAGTGGAGTTTCGGTTGGAAAGTGTACAAAACCCTGTAGGTGTAGGGTGTTTATAGGCACATTTCTGCAGGAACCTGCAACGCTGAGCACACTTACGCCCCAGCTCACCTGGCGGACGCCGCCCAGCCAGGTGATCCCGCCGTCGACGGGAAGCTGCGTCCTCAGAGGGGCGCTCAGGCGGGGTGGGGGGAGGGGAGGGGAGCTCGGGCTCAGGCCCTCCCCCCACCCCTTACAGCCCCCCCGAGAGCAGATCTGTGTCGGGGTTTTCCCATTTAGGGACGGACAGGCAGTAAAAACCGAAAACCCGACGGTCGCTTGAAAGTAGATGGCCGAGGGTCCGAGTCCCGGCTCCGGGCGCCCGGAGTACCAGGGAGGAACCGGACGGGGTTCAGAAGGAGCAGCTGCAGTGGGAGAGTTGGCGGGGGGGGGGATAGCAGCAAGTTAGAAAAATGTGCACGAGGAAGACCGACAGGTCAGGAACTGGTGCGCACGGGGGCAGAGGGTGAGTGGGTAGGGATGAGCCGTAGGGAGCGCCCCCCCACCCCCACCCCCGGCCAGGCCCAGGAACACCAGGTGTGAGGGCGCTTCCGGGACTTCGCACGGCTGCCCCTTGCCCGCGGCGGCCCCGCGGCGCCTGGACCCTGCGGGGACAGAGTCGGGCGGGGCCCTGCGCTCTCCAGCCGCCCTGCCGGGGGCCGAGCTCGAACCCGGGCTGCGTGCCTGGGGCGGCAGATGTGACAGACAGGGGTCTGGAACGCCTGCCGTCCATTCGCCCACCTCACATCTTCCTCCTCTCCCTTGGAAAAAAAATAAAAAGTAAAGAGACCCGAACTTTCCCCCTCTTCCTGTCTGATTCAGCTGCTGGACACGCCTCATGCGGCCGAAAATAGCCCTGGAAATGTATTCGCTTTATTAAAAAAAAAAAAAAAGTGACTTTTCCACTAAGATTTGGGGCGGGGGGCGTCTGGCCCGCGGCGTCGGCGGGCCCGGCCTCGGGGAGGAAAGGGAACCGGCCGGCTCACTGCTTCGCCCTCCCCCGCCCCCGGCGCCCGGGAGGGGCCCGCTGGGCGGCGGAACCGCGCCTCCGCTGGAGGAGCCACCACGCGGCTTTTTCGCGGAATTTTGACGTCACCCACACGTGGGGGAAGGGGCTATCTTCCACCCCGGGGAGCTGACTTTCAGCCTTTGGAAGCCGCGAGCTGCTCCTAGCTCCGCGAAAAGCTGATTTCTTTGGGTTGCGGTCCAGTTGCGCTCGTTGGCGACATCAGATTGAATATCGCGATTGCAGGTCGCGACGCGCCGCCACCCGGCTCTCCTCCGCCTCTCCAGTGATGGAGACGTGGGTGTGCTTTCTGTTCCCCGGCAGGGACTTCGGCACATATTTTGACACCAGAAGTTTTTCACGCGTGACTTTTCCTCCCTGCTACCCCCACCCCCCTCACCCGCCCCATCCACTACTTCAATACCGACTGGCTGATGCGCTGAAAATGACATGTGACGTCTGCATAGAAGCAGCTTGGGACGAACTTTACTGGGTTAGGAGCAAATCCATCTACAACTATATACTTTTCAAGAGTTCACAAATCGGTCGTCAAACGTTTAGGGCGACTCCCCTCCCACCCGCTGGGTACCCCCATGGTGTCCGAGCTCCGGGAGAACCTCTAGATTCCCAGAGCTAAACACAGCAACCGCAGAGTGAGCCCAAGTACCTTCCTTTCCCCTACATTTGGGCCAAGTCTTTTTAATCTTTCCGTTTGGAGGGGAGGGGGTGATATCTGAACTGTGCCATTCCTGAAACCCACGGTGACAATGCTGAGTTTCTGCTGAAATTTACAAGGAGTTCTGTGGGAATGTTTGGGAGAAAAATAGCCAAATGTGAACTAGCTTTTAACCTCAGTGAGGTATAGAGACTGTTGCAGGAATCAGATGTAGAAAGCTAGGGGTTTCTTAGAAAATGTGGATTGGAGGTGGAATTATTTGTTTCAAATGTAAAGGAGAAGCTTTCTGTTTGAATCAGATATGAAGTGTGGAACTGTTTCTTTTTGAAGATGTCAGACTT